GCGGGGCTGGCGGCCGGGTGGGCGGGGCTCACCAATGCGGCCGGACTCGGTGATCTCGTTGAGGGCCCGGAGCAGGTCGCCCCCCAGCTTCTTGACGTTGATGAGGTCGTCGAGCATGGAGTAGGAGAGGTCCATCAGGTAGTACAGGTCGATGGGGTAGCCCTTGGCGCGGCGGAAGGTCACGTTGAATACCGCCGCCTGGCCTACGCAGAGATGGGGGCACGTCGGGCGCCAGAGCCTTGCCCTGCCAGGGCCACCGGGCCTTCTGAGAGGGCGATGGCACAGAACGTGCTCCCTTTTACGAAGAACACAGAACACGGGGCTGGAAGAGACCCAGGCCCCTGGCACAGCGGGGGGCAAGCCCACCTGGTCTCGCGTAGACCGTCACTTTCTGAGGGGACAACTGCTTCCTGCCCCCTTTCTGGTCCTCCTGGGTCTGGGCCAGGCTCCTAGGGTCCATGATATCGTCAGCTGCACAGCCCTTAGATAGCAGCTGCTCCCGTGTGTCACAGCGAACGGAGTTGGGCTCATTGGGTCCCGTGAAATTCTGGCGGGGAGAGTCAGAAGTCAGGAACGGGGAAGAGAAAACACGGGAGCTGTGCAGGCTGAACCCCACATCATGCGAGGCGGCCGACCCTCCTCATTTCCGCCAGGTCTGACAGATGTCCCTGTGGCATGGGACACGGCAGGGGCTGGACAGCCCCCAGGGAGACACCCGCCCCCAGACGGCCTCTCCACGGGACTCCCGGACCACGGCGGAGCCAGGCCCAGTGGGTCTCCTGCCGCCTCCAGCAGCAGACGGCACTGGAGAGCCGAGCCTCCAGCCCAGGCTGACCGTCAGCTGGACACTCCGCGGCCCAGAGCCAGGGGCGGCCTCACTGAGCGTCTGGCTGCGGGGTCCACCCTTTGTCAGAGGGAGTGGCTGTCTCCCCAGGGAATGTGGCTGTCTCTCCTCAGCCTGCGTGGCCGCCCAAGGATCCTTCTGGAACACAGGCCAGGGCTCTACGCCAACCCCGTTGCAGTCCAGAGGGCACGGGGCCAGGAGGAGCAGGAGGCCTGGACCCAAGGTGCTTTCCTTGTGACCGCCGTGTCCCCACCAAGGCCCCCTAGATCCTGACACGGCAGGAGAGAGAGGGGGCCGCGCTGGGTGGGTCCTGCCGTGGGCCAGAGCCAGCCACACCTGAGGGTGGCATTGCTCCCACTGGGAGCTGCCAAACGCCAGCTCACAGCTGAGCTGCTTTCCGCAGGGCGGTCGGGAGAGTAACCAGGCAGGCGGGGCGGGGGTGGGGACGGCATGGGGGCCGCCTCCTGAGCCGCTGCGGCACCACGTTCACCTTCGGAACCCCGCGAACTCTCTACGTGCTGCAGAAATAACATGGACAGGAACAGAGAGCGAGACAAGCCTCCGATACGTCGACTGAATCGACGTGTGTTCCTGGGTTACAGCATCGCCCGGGGGAAAAACGGCTATCGAAACATTTCTGGATGAACTGGCACAATTTGCACCTTTAAAATATTAAAGGACAAAGTGGCATGATGTCTGCAATATAGTCTCAGATTTGAGAAAAATGAGTAATGTGTGAGTGCGCACCTGTGTGTTTCCATTTAGATCTGCAGGGTCACAGCCTCGGGGCACCCTGGAAACGGGGCGTGGGCGGGAGGTGGGGGACTCTCAGGGAAAGGACAGGGTCAGGGTCTTGGAGGACCTTTAGGGAGGAGGGCATGATCAGGGTCAGGGGGCCCCGGGGCAGTGTGCCTCTCCGGGAGGAGGGTGGCCTCGGACAGGGGCTGTGATGCGGGGACAAGGGGCTGGCTCGCCCCTTACTGTGCTGGCCCTTGCCTTCCTCCCCAGGGGCCTCACCCCTGGAACATGCTACCGGGAGCGAGGCCCCCATAGGGCGCTGCCGCACTTCCCGTCCATACTCTGGCCGCTGGACCGCCGCCTGCCTCCCTGCGTGCTGGGGGCCGTAGGGGACACATCATGCAGCTGGCCTCCCGCCTCCTACTCCCGGGGGGCCCAGGGCCCAGTGCTGGCCCGGCCTAGCACGCCTCACTCGGGTCAGCCTCCAGGCTGCCTTGGGGCCAGCCAGGTCTGTCTGTCAGACGCCCCTGTGTCCTGTCAGCTTCTGCCCCAGGAGTAAAGGGCCAGGTGATGGTCCCGGGTGCCCGCCGGGCCGGAGGAGGCTCTTACCAGCTTCTGACACCAGGCGCAGCCGGGCCCCGACTGGATGCATTCCTGGCAGGTGCCACCTTTGTACTTGGGGCACTCCTGGGAGAGGACTGCGGGCGAGACGAGACGGGCCCCATGAGCGGAGAGCCAGCGGCCATGGGAGGCTGCGGTGCTGCATGGTGGCGGATGGGTGACCAGGCCACACGTGGAGGTGGGCGGAGAGGGGCGGACAGCGGGAGGACCCGGGTGGCGGGATAAACCAGAGGCGTGTCTGCCAGGCTCTGGGAAGGGGGCCTCCGGGGAGTGCTAGGGTGGGCATCCTTCCTGACCCGGAATGTTCTGCGGAACTCACCAGACCCGAGGGAGAGCAGACCCGCCAGGGCGAGCAGCAGGGAGCATTGACACAGCATGTCCTGTGGAGGGAAGGGTCTTGGTGACAGCGCCCGGGACCCCATGCACTGGGTGACTGCCGTGCAGCCCTCCACGCCGGCCTGTGGACGCGGAGCCTAGAGGCGCACCCCTGCTGCGGGGGGCCTTGAGCATCGGGGCAAGGCCAAGACCGGTCATTCTCCCTGACTGCCCTGCATGGCTGCACGCCAGGGGACTGGGGCCTGGCGGGCAGTGGCTGTCACACTGATGAGTGCCGGGCATCCTGCCAGTGACATATGCGAACAGACTTGCACATGCGCAATCACGCGTGTGCACACACATCATACACACGTGCACACATACGCTGCCAAGCCCCGAGCCCGCTGGACCTCCCAGGATGAGCAGAGGGGGACTCCTGCCGGCAGCGCATACGGCCACACGGACACCCACAGACTCACGGTACACACACCACACACATGCATGTACATGTGCACACACCACACACGTGCACACACCACACACATCATAAACATGCATACGCCGTCCACACACACACACACACACACACACACACACACACACATCATAAACATGCATACGCCGTCCACACACAGACACACACGGTGCCACATGTTCTGAGTTAGAGCCATGGGTGACCTCCACACACCCTGAGCCCTCAGCGAATTGAACACTGAGCTCAGAGCAGAGACTCGGGCGCCCGGAGCTCTGGCAGGTGGCAGAGTAGCCATCCTTGAGCACCTGGGACGCCCAGACTGCACCCGCCGCCTGCTGGGCACCGGCACGCAGGGCATGTCAGGCTGTGTAGGGCCACCGCTGCCTGCCCGAGGCGCTGGCCATAGGGGACCATGAATTTGTTCTCGTCCATCAGCATGGGCCGTCCTTACCCAGAGCTGGGGACAAGGCACAGACAGGGCATCTGGCCAAGCGGCTCGTTCAGGCACCCCGACTGCTGACGCTCCCAGAGGCACCATCACGGGTGCGATGTTGGAAGCCTGGCGTTCTGGTTCTGGTTCTGGTTCTCGGAGGCAGAGGAAGGACCTCTAACCCACTGCCCACACGCTAGGGGCCAGCAAGGGCGACGCCTCCATGGCTGCAGACCCAGGCTGGGCATAAAGCAGCTGTGTCCCTCTAGAACAGCCAGGGAGGGTGGCAGGCCTTCCTGGGGGGAAGGGGGTTGGGCCCCCAGGTCTGAGCATTCTAGATGGCCGTGGCCTTTTATCTGACACCAAGAAAGCAGAGGTGTTGAGCAGCCAGCAGCCGGGAGCTCGCAGGCAGGAAGAGGCTGCGCCTTATCAGAAACGGTGATCGACAGGATGCCCCGGAAGGTGAGGTGGGTGCCAGCTGCTCTGCCTGAGCTCCTGGGGGCCCGGCTCCCGCCGCCCCGCGTCATGCCAGTGGGCCTCGGGGCCCTGCATCGGGCACGTCTGTCCCAGCTGGCAGAGGCTCCGGCCGGGCCCGCCCGTCAGCGAACTGCGTGGTCCCACCGTGGGCTCTGGGGGTGCCCGTCAGTGGGTCCTGCCTTCTCCTTTGTTCTCCCACCCAGCCCCAAGTTCCTGCCTCTTTGGAGGTGACCCTGGCCCTGCTCCCCGCAAGATTAAACCCGAGACCCAAAACAGAAGCTTCGATCCTTCCCACTCGGGTCAAAAGCAGGACGACTCCTGCCTGCTCTGGCTTCCCGGGTCACAGCGGCAGGCAGCGGGGACGTGGCTTTGGTTCACTCCAGGTCCCCGGCTTGTCAAAGTCCCCTTGTCTCCCCACCGTGGGTCATGGGGCTCCGGTCGAGGCCGCCTCAGCTCTCCATCTGGGTCCCCCAAGTTCAGCAGCTGGACTGGTGCCCCAAGTGTGCCCACCGAACCCTCAGCTGACCTGCACTGCCCTGGGGCACAAGGTCCAGTCGGCCTCAGGATAGCACCCCAACCTTTGAGGCTGGGGCTGCTCCAAGCAGAGGGCGGGGAGCCCCATCCCCAAGCGCCCCAACCATGCGTGTTGTCTGAGCAGGTGAGCGGGTCCCCCTTTCCTGGGGCAGGACCTGCAAGCAGACCTGGGCCCTCTCTCCTGCGGCCGCAGACCAGCCCCCTGGAATAGTCGTGACAAGCAGCTTGTAAACAACTCGGTCCTCGCATGGGGAAACTGAGGCCCGAGTGGCAGCAGGGTGTGGGCCTGGGAACGGTGACCCCGCTGCTCTTCCTCCCACAGAGAGGGGAGTGGACCTTGGTCAGGACAAGACCCACAGGCAGCAAGACCCTGACCCCGAACACAGGAAGCCAGGTGGGGAAGGGGCGGAGCTGCCCTCTTCCCCGACTGTTACTTCACGGGTTCCACCCTGGGACAGACACTGTGGAAGCCCCACCCCACCCTGGCTGAGTGGGGGCCGGACACCTGGGCACCTGGCGGCTCTGGGGGCTCAGGGATGGGCCAAGGGAAGGAGGCAGAGTGCAGATCCTGCCACACAGCACTCCCCTCTGCCTGGGTCCTGCGGGATGGGAGCAGGACCCTCCTCACGGGGCCGGGGTGGGGTTCACAGTGGGCGTTCCCTCGGGGGCCCAGGGCCTGCATGCAGCTCGCACACCCGCAGAGATGAAGGCCCCTCTGGGCGCGATCCCGGAGGCCGGTCCCCGGTCAGCCCCCCGCATGCCCGAGCCTAGGAGGAGGCCCGCCTCAGCGGCTCGCTCTGCCTCGGCTCCTCCGTGTGGCCGGGGCTTTGTAGGCCCGCCCCCTGCTCTGGGGAGGACAGGCTTGCATGGCAGCTGTGTGTGCAGTGACCTGAGGACCTGGCACTCGTGGTCCCTGCACTCAGTAAGGACAGCTCGCAGAAGAGCAAGCGAGAGGCCCCGGGCTGAGCGGAGGAGAGGGGCGAGGGCAGTGGGGGAAGGGCGTGGGCCCCGACCTGCGAGCTCCTGCCAGCAGCTGTCCCTGACGGCCCCCCGCTCCCCGCCCCCCGAGTGCTGGGTACCATCCCCACCGGCTAGGCCGCCATCTCCCCGGAACTGGGACACCCCGCTAGCACGCCTCACTCACCCAAGATGCAAGATGCAAAACCCTAAGCCAGGCGGCTGGAGAAAGCCCAGGCCCCAGAAACCCGTGAGAACCTCTGCCCCACCCAGCGGGGGAAGGATGGTGCAACCCAGGGTAACTCGGGGAGCAGCTCCCCAAGTCCCCTGCGCCAGCCCCCTTCCCGAGACCCCCAACGAACGCTACTAAGGAGGGCCCACCGCACCGCGAACGAAGCACTAAGACCTCAGATTCCAGACGCCGAAGGAGCATTAGCAAGAAAGTGTAAGAGTCTCAGATCACACCCTCTAACGAAAATGTCCCCATCTGGCAAAAGACGAAAGAGGAACCGTCAATGAAGAAACAGGACTCGGAGCAAGAAGCAGAGGAGGCCAGCATCTTGGCGTGGGAGGAAGCGGGGGCTGGACCAGGCTTCCGCCGAAGCGCAAAGCCCCAGAGGAGGCCGCTCGGGCATCCGCAGCCTCCCTGACCCTCGGCCCTTGTGGGATCCTGCCCTTGACCGCCCGCCCGTCAGGGCCAGAGAATAAACCCGCCTGGGCGGGCTTGTAAGAGGCACCAGATGGGGTGATGGAGAGCGGGGAGCGCAGGTGACGGGCGTCCTCAGAAGTGCAGACGGAGGGAAGGCGGGGGTCCCTCCTCTTCCTGGAGTGGATGGGCCAAGGCTGTTTCATGGAGAGAAAAGTCAACGTCTCCGACGGACCCCAAAGAGGCCCCGGCCTTTTTAAGCCAGACAGAGCATCAGTGCATGATCTTTTTCCTCTCCTTTAAATCGACACGGGAGCCACTACCCAGGGCCGAGCTACCGCAGAGGGGGCGGGATTGTACCGGCGCCCACCTCGCGGTCAGGGCTGAGCCGGGGGCGAGAAGGGCGAGGGGCTCCAGGAGGACGCAGCCTCCAGCTCTCCAGGCCTCCAGCCCCACAAAGGGTCCAAGTGCCTGTGGACACAGTCGCAGCTGTACGTTTCACCGTCGCTGAAATCCGAGAGCAGAAATTTGACTAAATGGAACAAAGTGAGACCTCCCGCCACACGCACGTGAATTAGAAATTTTAAAACGCTGCTGCATATCTTTTAAGGCGAAGAGGAAATCAAACTCACGTTCACAGACGTTTTGGAAAAGAGGGTGACGCAAACGTCCTCTGAGCAGTGCGGTGGGACCTCTGTCCCCTCAGGGCTGTGAAGCCAGTGCCCTAAATGCTTTCCTGCCAGACGGAAGGACAGTACGCTCGGGCACGGGGATCCAGAATGAGGGCGCCTGCGCAGAGCTTCGCCGAGGGAGGCAAGAGACCCACGGATTAGGGCGGAAGTCGGCGAATCAGAAAACCAACGAAAAAGCCAGAATTGGTAAGGGCATCGACACCCACTTCCTGGGAAAAAGCAGTAAAACGGATCGTCTGGAAGAGGAAATGCGTGACAATCGCCGGGCAGGCTTGAAAGGAAGCGACGAGCCAGCTGGGGGTGTTGTTTGCAGGGTGGTAAGTGCCCTGAGAAGCTTCGGGCCCACAGTCCAGTCTGGTCGGAGGCCCAGCGAGGGGGCGTGAGCAGGTTCGACACCGGCCAGGGCAGGCTCACGTCGCACAGCCTGGCGCCTGGTGACAGTCAGGGCCACGCCAGCTCAGCACCCATTCATACCACGGACACGTAAACTCAGTTTCAGATGGCAAAGCGACAGAATAAGTAGACGAGCCTGTGCGTCTACAGTAAGGACACCTCAGCGCAAACCCTAGGGAAACAAAAGGCTCTGAGGACAGATGACTCTGAAACAACGAACTGGTCCATAAGAACATGGAACGGGTGGAAATATTTAGTTACTGTCCACTGCCAAAGGAGAATGGCAACCTTCGCCACCAAGGTGTCCTGGACAGTGACGAACAGAAAGACAAACACCCCGTGGGAGAGGCCGCGGGCCAGAGCAGAGGACGGGGCGCCACTGGTGAGCAAACTTTTGAGAAAGTCACCTGGCATGTGGTCAGGCGTGACAATCGAAGTAGCTAGGTTTCTCGCTGTCC